TAGTCGTTGGTCGGCGCATAGCATTGGATGATGTTCATTGTAATGCCCTCTCTCTTTGTTTTGAAGGAGGCTTTGATGATCCTCGGTCCATGAGATTCCCATCCTATAAGTGCATTTTGTGCTTTTCTAGACAGCATCAGTGCCACTCCTTGTGTATGTGGGGCATTTTCTTCTTCATGACCTGAGTATAACAGAAGTTCCCCTGAAGACAGTCGTTGTTGTCCAACCTGCGTCCAATGTGTTTCACTGATTCCAAGCACCTCCAGGTTGTATTTCCTCATTTCCGCAGAAATTTGGAAGACTCTGCCGGTCTCCCACATTGTCCGGACATTCCATGTACCTATGAAAATTGTTGCTCTGGTTGTTAGAAGGTGCATCGGCCTCATGACTTCCGAAGGAACTCGGCTTTCATCATGAGACGTCATTTTTCCTTCTACTCCCAGGGCAGAGTTTGAATGGTTTGAATGATTTTTTCTGGTTAGCGAGTTGATTTTCTACGGGATGGGGTCGCTAACCCCATGCCCAACCCTCCTCCTTTACCCGGGCTTGGGACCGGCAGTAGCCCCTGGAGGAGCTACAGGCGGAGTTAGTCCAAACTATAGCTAGTGAATATTTCAAAGAGAACAAATTAAAGCACATATATTTTCTGTTATGAACTATGTAGTGTAATCTTTTGAACTACTTTTGAATACTACTATAGTTGTGACTATTACAAAACCATATAAAAATAAGCTTCAACGAACACTGAAAGTCAATTACGTAATCGTATTATGTTGAAGGGAAATAAAAGTTTGAAAATTTCACTTAAAATTCTAGACACGTCAAACCAGTATTATTGAAGAAGTGAAATAATGAGCCAGGAAACTACATAGATTATGTCATAAAGTTTGTGATATTCATTACCATGATATATGCTGTAAGTTTGAATCCTTTTACTAAACTAATAGCAATAGATTGTTTTTCCTTGTAGTATATATATATATATATATATACTTCATAAACCTTTCATTCCTTTATGTGATTGTGTGTTCACATTATCCATCAACGTATTTTTGATTTGCTTTCTGTAAGCATTTTCGATACATATATATATATATATATATCATCCTAAAAGGTTGATAACATTTATATCATTATTTGATTTTCAACATGTAGTAGATTTTATCGAACAATTAACACCATTTTTTGTCCTAAATAGTTCATGTATCTTCCATAAAACATAAAAACTTTTTCTACAAATACATAAATCAACCTAATGTAAGATGTTATGATAATATAATAATAATCAATTTATTGAATATCATAAACGGTATTAAAAATTAAAGATTCTCATAACGTGAGTAACAACTTTGTAATGACGTCTTGTTTTATAGTCGAATAACTTGTGATTTATCATAGGTTAGATAAATACTGGCTAGCAACCATTACTCAATATACAGAAATGTTTTTAAAAGTCTGTGCTCTTAATGATAACCTTTCCTTTGTATAACATAGTTGACATGTTATTTACATCAGAAATTATTTTTTTCCCTAACTGTAACAAAATGAACAGTGACAATTTTAAAATATCGGTATAATTACCAAGTTTTTATTTGACGATTTTGAATAAATTGAGCATTGAGTAGATTGTTATAAATAAATTAATATATTTGTAATATCAAATTGAGATTTTCTGACGTCTCGTGACTTAGTGTAAGCCACTTCTTCAGAGAATAAATAACCAAATAATCAAATAACCAAAACTTGGATTAATGTTGATTTGGTTATTTATTCTCTGAAGAAGTGGCTTACACTGAGTCACGAAACGTCAGAAAATCTAATTTTTCTACTCCTTCAGATAATACGAATATATTAATTCTGAAATAGCTTTTCCAGAAAAATTTGAAATATACTGTAAATAGTTAATATTTTAATCTTTGAAAACGGTATAAGCAACGTGGACTGGATTATATGACTCAATTGGAAAAAACAGGATTTGTGAATTAGCTATGAGACCACTCTAAGACTCTTTGTAAGACTCTTATAGAACTAAACTAAAAGTTGACAGTTTTAAAAAGCTAACTAAACGATTTACACTTCATTGATGACAATAATTTTAACCACCTAAATGTTTATTTTTTATCTTGAGTGTTTGATTGACTAAAGCAATTACTCGCATGTTAACAAAACTATTCATCAGAAAACGTTGAATGAATTCATTAGCATTTTTATAATCAACGGAACGTAACTCGTTAGACTCTTCTACAATGTTTTTTTTCACATCATATATACACAGCTTAAATATAACAAACGTTACATACATGTTATTTCACGGTTTTCTGTATACTTATATACTGTAATTACACTTACTGTTTCCTAAATTTACAAACAATGAAATGTTACACATCGTTTGTATTTTGATCAACATCATAATTGGAGAATTATTTAAACTAATTTATGTTAAGCAACTGTTTTAAAAAGTTAATTATATTTACTGTTTTCGATTAAAATTCTTTCAAAGAAGTTCATTTGTGATTCATACTAATCAGATAGATTATGAAATTCTTTACAATTTGGTGATATCCGATAATATGAATATCGTTACAAAATTATGTTAACAAAAGACTCTGTATTGGAAGAAATTTTATTTTGGTGATGAAGCTTATAAATACTATGAATCTTTAGTTAAAGCTTTTTCAAAAAAAGTTCATCCGAAAGAAGAACCATTGACAATCCTGATAATGTTTGATAAATTCATTATGCAGTCGAAATCACGAGTCAATTGATGCTAGACCACCATGAAAAACCTGGATGCACTGGAATACCGTTTCGTCCTATTATGGGACTCCTCAACAGTGCGCATCCACGATCCCATCTCGTGAGATTTGAACCTAGAACCTATTAGCCTCGCTCGCGAGCGCTTGAACTCTAGACCACTGAGCCGGCATCTAACGCTGTTGATATATAACTTCAACCGATCCACGAAATAGAGCAACTGCTGAGGAGTCCCAAAATAGGACGAAACGGCCGTCCAGTGATTACATGTTTTTCATAGTGGTCTAGCTTCAACTGACTCATGATTTCAACTATAAAATTAATGAAATCTTCACAAAAAATCCATTCCGATAAATTAATTTTGGCAATTTTAATTAATCTGATCACATGTCAGTTTTAGATTTGTAGTTAAGTATTCTATAAAGATTTGAATTCAGCTTCTCCTCTTTTCATTTTATATGATACCATTTATTTCGATAAACGATGATTAACTTGATTATAAATGATTGTTCAAAGATTTATTATTCGTGATACTGTCATATACTTGTCTTGAATGACTAAAGTTAAATATTTATTGTTGATGTAAAAAATATAGTGAAAATTTTTAATTTATAAAAATTTTGGTGAACTCAAAATAAAACGTCTCAATGACGGTTTTTATAGAGTTGAATAAAAAGCTAGACAAACGACTTTTTTGAAGGATATACTGTGGTAAATGAGAACACAAGTGAAGACAATCAAATATATTTGAATACAAATGACAGAACATCTTTGTAAAAATCCGAGAACCATACAGTAAATACTTCATTTACGAAATGTCAATCAATCATCCTAGACTTCAATAATGTTTCGTTTTCATACCAATCATTCTCTATTTTCGTTCTCCTTTCTTTCATCTTCTTAATTTTCTGCTGCCAGATATTTCATTTTCGATTGATCGTACATACTACTTATACCTATCGACATCAATAGCATACGCTACAATGATTGTTGATAATTCTATTCATGAATTTAAACAAACTACTACTAACAATTTATTACCTTACTGCAACGCCTGTTTTTACATCTGAGTCAATCTAGACATTATTTTCAACCCTATGATAAACCTGCAGGTCATCACTAATTGGTTCCTTAATTCTTTGAATTCCATCAATCACAATGTACATTATTATGAATAGGTAATAAATTCTAGTTCAGTGGTAATGAGAATGAAACTGGTATCAGGAGTGACAGTGACGCTATATTATAGTCCGTATGAATTTGGAAATATGTTTCATTGAAATCTGATTTTGTGGGTATTTGCATAGAGCTAATATGTTAATGAGAAGTTCTCAATAGTTCTCCAACCTACTTTAAAGTTCTTTAAAAAACAGAACCAAACTTCAGTAACCTCTAACATATAACCATATTCCCACTAATTGCAATTTTTTAATATATTAAAAATGCAAGATAATGTAAGTCTGTAAAGTTTCTTCTTTACAATCAGGTTTGTTTGATATTTAAAATGATATTTTGTTGATTTTAAGTACATTTATTATGTTGCTAGCAGTGGAATCGAGGATTCACCAACTATGCTTACATCCTCAATGTTGAAATTCACACTAGCGGAAATCTCGATAACAATGTGATGACGCACGATTTTATCCTAATATATTTCTAGCACTTCTTAGATCAGTTTTCTTACACTAAGCTGCATCTAAACCTCATAACATTTCTTGATTATCAATAGTCAGAATCTTAAAGCGAAATATACTCAATCTCATTCTGAAATATTATCATTGACTTATATAGTTCACGTTTATTTTTGGAACTTTAAGTTTAAGTTTAAACCCTGCTAGAATATCATTTGCTTAAAGATTATAATACTAATCGATCAAAACAACTTGAAATGAATCTAGAATTTACTCCCCAATACCTCCAACCCTTTTTCTATTACACTGACATAAAAATGATGAATTTCGTCAATTTGTTATGTAACAAACTAATATAGAAATATTTAGTTAATCAATGCCTCCATATATTCAGAATAAATGAAAATTTGTCATTAAATTAAAAGAAAAAAATTGAATAATCTATCATAGAAATAATTTTACACCTAACAAAATGTATCTTTCACAAATTCTCATGTACTTCAACTTACCTAAATTCTATTACACCAATCATAATAAACCGAGCTTCTGATTGGATGAAATTCTAACTGGGAAAAGTGAATTCAATTACTGATTCATTAAAATTTTTATGTATCATGCAGTTTCACTTAGGAGATTATTTAATTTCAAATTATTATAAACAAATACAATTTTTTATTTCATGTTTATTATAAATTATAATAATAAACATATTTTAAACTTGTATATTTTCATTATACGCCATATTGGATTTATATTTTATTATACAACAATTTTGTTACTATGTAATATTTTATTAATAAAATATAATATGATATGTTGCTGGGGTATGAATATATCAATCAATGATATTAATGTTCCAAAATATGTTCGAATTAAACTTAGAGAAGAATCACCCTCAGGAACAGTTGTCATAAATATTGGAGAATTTTTAAATTCTATTCCATTGACTAATTATGATACTTCAAATAATGCTGATCATGATTTTAAAAAAAGAATGTTAATTGTACCATCTAGTTTAAGTTTAGTTTCTGAAATTCCATCAGTGACCCGTTTATTCAGATTAAACAAAGAAACTGAAAGTATACACACAGTGATGGCTATTGATAGAGATACATTATGTAGTAAAAATCAGTTATGTTGTTCAAACCCTACAATCAAAAGTAGTATAAATGGACATATAGAAACTTCTGGTCGAATGCCTATATCAGGTGGGGGGCAAACATTCAAGTCATATGATAGTAAAACGGCAGATGTTTGTTTAATTCAGTTTCGTGTAATTTTTTCTATGCATTATCACAATGATTTTGTCGGAAACAATAATAATAATCAGGTGGATGGATCAACTGAGAAAATGGCATACATTACGGTAGAAGTTGAGTTATTGGATATTAATGACAACTCACCACAGTTTATTCTCCCTGTTCTTATACCAAAAACAACAACACTTTTATATAGTCCAATACCTGTAATTGAAATTTCCGTCGAAGAATCAATGGGATTACATACTTGTATACATTTGCCTAAAGCATTAGATTTAGATTCGAGTATTTATGATGTAACTGAGTATCGCATAGAATCGTTAACTCAGTCAGATATCTTACAATTAAAAAACAAACTTTCCCATTCAAATCTTGTTGGGATAGATAAAAATGAACTACCATTTTCACTAGAACATATGTCGTGCACTGATCCATTAGTCCGGAATTACATTGAAGTAGACATGAATACTCCCATACAACAAACAAATGAAAGATTCGAACTAACCACAAACAAGGAACTATTGACACCCTCATTAAAAGTAATTAATTATCTTGATCGAGAAACAGTTGAGTATTATTGGATAAAACTTTTGGCAATCGATGGAACTAAGTATTTGGAGACTGATGCTTCCGGTTGTCAGGATGTAAACAATAAAATGCCATCAATTGAACATTCCTTTCAAAATACTAAACATACTGGTACCATTCTGATTCATATTCACATCATAGATACCAATGATAACATTCCTATAGTACCTAGAACACTGAATCTTGACATTTCAGAGGATGCTAAGGTAGGTACATTATTAGCAAGAATTAATGGTACAGATCCAGATCTTGGTGACAATGGTAAATTGCACTATCACCTTATGATGGATCAGACAGGGATATCAAATTTTCCATTCGTTATCGATTCACTAACCGGAAGTATAACAGTTAACAGACCGCTAGATGCTGATCGACTACCTCAATCGAATAAGCACTTACGATTTAAAGTACTAACTAGTGATTTTGGTAAACCGATTTCACATTCCTCTTATACAGTAGTTGATGTCCGTATAAATGATGTCAATGATGAAACACCACAGATTAAAGTAATAGATTTAGAGAGCCGTAGTAATCCACCGTATCCTACGGTGATGGAGAACAGACAGCCAGGTCAGTTAGTGGCATTCGTTACTGCTACCGATGCAGATTCCGGTCCAAATGGTGCACTGTCATGTCGTATAAATAATCACAAGTTTAAACTTGAACAAATAACTCTATCAAGCTCAATTCCAGACGTTCACTCAAATAATAACTTCAATTTTTATAGCTTTGAACCGCTGAGTAGTCAGTCCTTAAAAGAGTCTCTAAATACTTTAGATTTCAAAGTAGTCACTGCCACAGAACTTGATCGTGAGCTAAGTACAATAGAAATCATAGAAATCACGTGTACAGATCAACCATTGAATAGTGCAACAGTACGTACAGGTCGAACACAATTTTATGTAAGAATATTAGATGAAAACGATAACCCGCCTACATTTAATACACATAAATTTCAGTTGGATATTTTAGAAAATACGCCGCCAGATGAAATTATATTTATTTTTAATGCAACAGATCCAGATTATCAGAATCATTTATCTGGAGGAAACACACATCGAATAAATGACCCTAATTATCATTACATTCATCAGCAACAACAACGTCAAAATTTGTTAAGCATTCAGTCAACGAACAGAATTAAATATGCGATTGATTCAAATGGACAGCAATATTTACGTATTGATCCGGACACTGGTATATTGTATAGTAAAGTAAAAGTTGACAAGAAAATTGTTGATAAATTCAAATTCAATGTGACTGCAATGGATAACGGCCATCCACCCAAAAATGTTACAGCTGAAGTATTTATCAATGTTATAGATCAAAATGACCATGCACCGAAATTTGAAAAACAAATATTTTATTATAATTTATCGGAAGATATGCCAGTGAATTCAATCGTAGCTATACTAATTGCACAAGATGATGACTTTGGACAAAATGCTGAAATCACATACAAATTAGATGACTTACAAGTAAGTTTGATCTACTTGCTTGTAAAACTATTTAATCTCGTTTCTTTGATTAATATGTAAGGTTCACAATTGCGTAAATTAATATTTCTGCTAGTCAGTCTTACACAATATAAGAAATGTTGCTATCCTTTGTGGTGGCAAAACCTGAGGGAATTACTATGATGCAAAGTAAATAAGTCAAATTAATCGAAATCAGTAGTAAACCAACCACTGAGATCAAAAAGTAAGAGAAAGATGATAAATGATTGCAACTTTAAAGATGGATCAATCGAACTGTCAATGAATACTTAGTGTACTGTCATATGCAAATGTGGCTCCTCTCTCCAATGTTTTTGCAAATCACCATAACTATATCAACATATACTTTGGTGACCTATATAAAACTTATTATTTCAATAAATTACAGTTTAAACAAGACATGTTTATCCACCTAAATTAATAAGTGGTATGCTATTTGTTTGAAACATCTAATGTTATGACATCTGTGAGGTAGAAAAACCGATGTTATTACTGTAGAACTGAATTGGAACAGGGGGAAACTAAGGTTCATACGAAGCTAGAAAAATGAAAAATCTAATGATAGATAAGAATTTGACTCACTCTCCAAAACACGATGAATTCTTTAACCAAATACATTCATTTCTGTACTAATTTTACTGAAGTATGATGATTAATTAGCAAATATTTCAGATAACCTAAATAAATATAAAGATGAGTTAAGTCACCAAACGTCAGAAATACAATTTTTCTATTCATTGAGACATAACAAAAAATATATTTAATAAAAACAAAAAAATATTAATACTCCTTAAGAATCACACTAAATTATATAGCAATTACGAGTCTTTATCCTGTCCTCACTACCGTGTGCAGTAAACATGGAAGTTAAAACTCGTATATATATAAACGTACTGAAAACTATTGAACATCATACGCCTATAAGCCGATGAATAACTTTCTACTACACTACTTTTATGTGTGCGACAAGAACAAAGTAATAACGTGTACAGCTTTAGTGAAAATCTTATTATCATGAACTGCCATCAGCATGATATGTCAGATGAAGAAACAGTTCTTATAAACTATATAAACAATGTGTATAAAAGTCTATTAATTCCTGGATTAGTTCGCGTTCATTAATTTGAAAAACAAAAACTTATTTAGTAAAGCAAATGTCTAAAAATCGGATATTTTATAACTTAATTAAGTTTAACAATTATTTGTAACAAGTGTAAAATTTAATACAAATGTAATGAAACAGGTGAGGAAGTAATTTTTAGGCTAAAAGTTTGCCTTTTAATGTTATTCACTAGATGAATATCGGAATATTTGAGATTATAAACGTTTGTAAATATTTTTAAATTTATGCTGTTCATATAATGAGCTCCAATTGTTTTGTCTCTATCCATCAGTTGTATTTCTTAGTATCAACAATAAAATGTGCATATCTTGGTTGATGCTTCCATTCCTATTAAACGTATTAATGGTTATTTGAACTCAGTAGCTTAGTGCACAGTAGGTTGACGCCTAAAGCTATAGAAACTAGCATTTTGTTTCAGTATGAACATCAACAGTAGAATGCAGAAATATAAACTCATTTTGAATAAAAATAGCAAATACGTTACAGAAATGGGAAAAAGTGATATTCACATGAATAATGAATATCATTTTCATAGTGTTCTTATCATTTTCCCTCGTAACTTTATTTCAACAATCCAAAAGGATAAATATTTTTTAAAAGATTAAGTTAGAATTATGTGTAAAATGAAATTAATGTGAAAGAACTCATTATATATTGAATAATAAGATAGAATATTTAGTTGGTGATTACTACATACATAATATGAAATGACTGAATCAAGTTATTAATATATTAACCGATAGTAACTAAATAAAGTGAATTGAGTCATTATATAATAGTTATAAACGGATTCTTTAGGTCTGAGTCTGACCAATTTTAAAATGGAGCTAAATATTTTTTTTTTAGAATAAGAAATTTTTAGCAATTAAACCTAAAGATTTCTTAACAGCTAAATAATTGGTTACATCTTCTAGTTAACATAACTTATAAACAACAATATCCAGGTCAGTTTAAGAATTAATTGCTCAAATTGTATGATCACATTTATAATAACAAAATTATAATCTTATAATAAAAAGAAATCTGTGAAGAAAACTTTTGTTTTAAAATTAAAAACAATAAATTCAGAGAAGGGATCTCTTTTCAACGAATTTATTGTCAAGCTGTACAATCGTATATATAATTGAAAATGTTTTGTTAAAGTACTAATTCTATTGTTATAGCTCGTATTACGTAATCTAGTATTATAATTTTCTATTACGTCATCTTGGTTGCTAGTGTTCACATTTCCTAACGGAATTAGTACTTTACAAAACATTTTCAATTATATATATAAAGGTTGTACAGCTTGATGATGAATTCGTTGAAAAGTGATCCCTTCGCTGAACTTCGTGTTTTCTTTTAAAGTCAAAATTTAAAAATCAGTATCAGATTTTACGATTTATGAGTTTCTAGGTGTTTCCAAATCATTATCACAATTAAGAATAGAATTATACAGGATTGAATAAAACAACAAAAACATTGAATAATTTATCAATATTTCAGCAAATTTACATTCAAAAGGTTATTGTATTTGTAAAATTAAAAATACGAAAATCTTGTTTTATTATTATGACTGTAATGTTAACATTACTGAGGATATAACCCATAATAATAATGGTTATATTACCAGTAATGAATTTAAATATGAATAATTTACTTGAGCTTTAAACTACGCTTTATTGTATGTTAAAACACATAAAAGATTTAGACAAAAACAACAATATCCCTGATATTGTAAGCAATAATGGGTAGTGACTAGCAGTGGAATCCAAGACACGTGTCTCGCCCTATTTGGAACTCGACAGCTGGATGTACCTGCATCTCAGAGTTGATGTTCACTCTGGGACTCGAACCCAGTACCATTCACTTCAAACGTCATAGCATTATCCATCTTTGCTTGCAATGTTTGTGAATTAAGGCTATATCGAGGCAATACGCACAGTATGCACATGTACCAATGAGAAACTGACCAGTTTCAGTCCTAAACATCAATGGGAAGATTCAAACAAACAATACTAAGTCAATTTAATATCCTCAACAATTAATAAAAATAACTGAAGATTCGAAATATGAAATATTTAATTGCATAATTTGATAAAGAATCTACCTAATTGAAAGTAAGTGACACTTCCACATCATAAATTTAGAACCCTATAAGAAACTAAAATAAGATAAAAAACATTGACTTGTTTGTTTCTCTCGTTAAAATTTATAAGAAGATAAAGTTAATTATATAAGTATTATAATCAATCATAAGAATAGTGATAACTTATTGCTTTAATTACATCATATGATTATGCAATTTATTTTTTTACTCCTTTTCATTTAACTAAAATAACTCATAATGTCATTGAATAATGAAAAGAGGGTTCAACAAAGGAGATTTTCTTTAGGACGAAATCATTTACTTAAGCTGCACATCCGTATATATATATATATATATATATATTATCTGATCCATAAATTATTTTCTTCCTTACCCCTTGTTTAGTAAGTAACCTCATTTGTTATTTATTGTCAAATCAATTAATGATGCAATCTTTCCAAGCCTCCTATAGACATATATTTTCCATTATCACTATATATACGAATGTACAGCTGAAGTAAATGATTTCGTCGAAAAGAAAACTTTCTTCGCTGAATTCTCTTTTTCCTTCTCATTTTTTTTCGTAAATCTGAAAATTATTATCAAAATCAGTCAGGTCTTAATAAATTTGTCACACACAAAAAAAGATTCATTATTCCATTATGAAATAATATGAATAATAAAGCTTATTTATAATGAAATTATATAATGACAATTAGAGTAATAGTAGTTTTATTCTAGATTTACATTTATCTATACGATATGTTGAATTAAAATTTTGTTGTCAGTAAATTTATTAATAACTTAAAATTAGACAAAAAGAAAAACCCCATGAAATTCATGTTTCCAATAGTTGATTTCCTTGAATTCATATGATTTCATTAATTTTTATGTCAGACAACTTTGTATGAGTGTGTGTGTGTGTACATGGATATTAACTAATAATGATTACAACGTATATTAAATAGGAAGAATATATATTTGTAAAATCTCAGCGAATGAATTTGAAGTAAATCTAACGTTATCGATAATTTTGATGTTTGATTATATTTCCTTGAAAAAGCTTGGATCAGATTGCCAGGCTAAATTTACGATTTACTTCAAACTCACTCGCTGAGATTTTATAAATATATTCTTCCTGTTTAATGTCTTATATGAACTCGACGCCAAAATACTGTGAAACTATTCGCTCTAATTTAAACGGAAGTTCTTATATACAACGTACATTGATGAGCTTAAAGAAGCAAAGATGGATAGTGGCTAGCAGTGGAATCCACGAAGCACGTTTCGTCCTATTTGGGACTCCTCAGCTGGATGTACCTGCATCTCACAATTTATGTTCACTCTGGGACTCGAACCCAGTACCATTCGCTTCAAACGCCGTCACGTTATCCACTGAGCTACTGAGCGCTGATAGTCACTTGCCTGTGCAATAGGGCAAAGTTTAAATTCATTTGGCATTGTTTGTTTGACTGACCAGTTGTAGTCTTAATCATGAATAGGAAGATTCAAACAAATAATACTAAGTGGATATAAACTTAAATAATTTACTATCATTTTCAATTCTTTTAAACTAGTAAAATATTTCCCTTTTTATTTTTGTAGAATTTCGAATATCATTATATATTTATTGGACATAATGAAACTGATAGAATGATTATGTCAAGAGTCTACAAAGTTCTTCGATAAGACCAATAATACTCAGATAATTCACTACCGTCTATTAATTGACTGGATGAATGTTCTTTAATAAAATATACAAAACATTGCAACAAATTACATTGTATATAA